CAAGTTTCTGCAAATTTTCTGTTCCCATACTATTTTGGATATTTTTCTCTTGTGATAGAACAGATGACTTATCGCCGGAATTTGCTGTTGGACATTTTTTACCGGAGATTTAAACGAACGTACCTATTGACTAACCAACATTTAACAGAACTGTTACGAACCGCTTTAACTGACGTAAAACCAGATTTTGAAAATTTGGCCAAAGAGATCTTTTGAATTTTCTGTAATAATGTACGATAGATCGTACTTTAGAAAAATTAATTTTTTTCATTTCTAATAATAATTTTATTTAAAAATAAAATTTTAGTTTTTGTTGTTTTTTTTTTGTGGCTCTTTGTAGCATTTAGAATTTACATGTGGCTTTTTCGGCCTCGGCCTTGCCCACCCCTGTTATATAAAAACCAACGTAGAGTGAGTGATCTGTACCTGATCATTCAGATGATTCAGTGCACACGGCACACAAAAGATTATGTCGTCACCTGAGTGGAAGATCGACCTTGGCAGCCAGCGCGAAAACGCCCTATCTCAGAAAACTTTTCAAGAACGCCCTACCTCAGAATTTTTTTGAAGAACGCCATATTTCATAATTTCATTGAAAAACATCCTACAAACCCTGGTTAAATTCGCCAGTTGCTACTGCTACTAGTCATGGTTCTAATTTCTGTAGAAACGAACCAGTTCACCACTTGTGCGTTTCCGTACAGGATACGCATTTGGTAAAGTTCAACCTTCCATATTCTTCGGCGTGATTACCAAACGCTATCAGTTAGAGCTGGAAATCTATCGATGGCACTATCGTTAGTATCGATGGTTTTTGACTATCGAAAACATCTATGGTTTTGTAAGCACGATCGATAGTTTTCACTCATACTTGCATACATACATGCAGATGCTGCTTGAAGCCAAGAATCGTTGATTAAATTTTGTTCCTTAAAAAAAATATCGACATATTTTTAGAATTCTGATCTCATTTTCACTAATTGTTATGTTTTTATTTTTTACCTTTTTAATCAAAACTATCAATAGTGTCGACATTTTCGATCCTATCGATGGTTGTGAGTATCGACTATAAAAACTATCGATGGCCACGACCATCGATATTTTTCCAGCTCTACTATTTATGAGTGCCATTGATCTTAAAGAAAAGTTTTCATAAAACATTGCAAAATAAAATCGTGGCTGATTTCAAATACGGTTGCCAGACGTACTGGTTTAATCAGTACAGTACTGATTTTTCAACTTTCGTACTGATTTTATTCATTCCTTCAATCAGTACGCTAATGTCCTGATTTTTTTAAATTTTATTAAATTTGATTTGTACTGATTTTTCAATTCTGAGCAATCAAATTTGTAATAGAGCTCTTCCCACCGAGCTTGGTACACGGTAACTCGGTGATCGGTAATTTTTGCCCATGTATTTTGCTTGTGTAATATTATTTTACACAAAAAAATACTTTACGATTTGCTTAAGTTTTTTACATAACGTTGGAACTTTCTCAAAATTTACTGTAAAAAGTAAGAAGAAAATAATTTAATTAAAGTTTACATGTTTTAGGTAATGTTTGATATGCGCAAGAAATTAATACAAAAGAGCAATCGTTTTATGGGCATATTGCGGGTCATTATCTACCAGAGGACTGACATTTTTTGTCGAGTGTTGTTAGTTATCTCGAAAATAACTTTCAGTTTAAAAACAACAAATTTGAATAATTGAATGGCTTTGCCTACAACTTACAATTCGTTTTTCTCAATTTACTGATTCAATTTAGATACTCTTTTTGGAGAATTCTTAGTCTTTCAAAGTTTTTGCGCAGTTGAAAAAATAATTTAAGCCATGAGGAAATACGGATGCAGTCCTAGAGGTCTATTTCCACAGTTTGAATAAATATGTAATTTTGTTTTTTCCATATCACGTTTAAACGAAGCACCTGAGAGGAACTAATTTAAATAGAAAGTTTACTTCCTGGCGAAAAGAGAGAAACCGACTTCTAATTAAAATTTTAGAAAGTGAACTTCAAATTAAAAGTAATATTAAAATATGTATAATGTTTAGAGTTCTTTGACTATTTAAACACTGAAAGTAGAAATGATCTCATTATTGCTATTAAAAATATATATGTATATAACATAATTTATTGGCTCCTGCAATATTATAAAGGTATCTCGTACTACATGTTAATTTGTATACTCATTTTAAAATGAATACCATTTTTATTTTTTATGAACAACATTTTATTTATAAACGGGTAAGACTTCCTCAAGTGGGCCCTGAATTTACCAAGATTAATATTTTTCAATGATATTCAGGCAGCGCCGAGTTTTTTAGTCGAAAAACACACTGTGTAAATTTTGTTGCAAAATTCCAAATTGTTTTTTTATAAACAACTAGATCGCCCTCACCCGCTTCGCTGAGTGTATGAAATTTTTGCGTGCTATATTGAGTAAAATTTATTTCAAGAAAACTCAATTCAAAAACAGGAGGTTTAAAATTTGTTTACCCATCTTCACAATATTTTCAAACTAAAACTTGCCTAAACTTCTCACTTATCATACTTTTTCAACTCAATTGAGATTTTAAACAGATGGAAACCCTTTACACGTAGTTTTAAAATTAAGCCCTTTTAAAATCATTTTGATTGATTCCCATGTTGTAATAATTCATTTAAATTATTGAGTTGTTTGAATTTAACCTTTTAAAACCTCTTTCGTCTAACACTCATATTGTGATACATATTCAAAACCATTTCGATTCATACCAATCTGTACCAATATATATTTTGAAAGCCGTTTTTTTTTGTGTTCGCAAAGCTCGAGAACGGCCGAACCGATTTTTATTTTAATTTCCGACACCTGATTCAGACGTCCCAAGGATTATTATAGGCTAAAAAAATGTTCGATATATAGAGGGGGCGTGGAACCTCCCATAAAAACCGACTTTTTCATACCGAATATCTCTGGAAATGTTCATGGTAGAGTACTGGAAATTGGTGTGGAGATACATATATGAAATCAATCTTATACTGATGGAGAAAACGGGCTATATGTAGGTGTGTTTGTGAGTGAAATTCTCGGACGGATTTTAACGAAGTTTTTTGAGTGTTTTTGAGTAACTCTCTGGATAGTGTAAATTCACAAATTCACCCGCCAGTAGGCACTGCAGTTAAGTTATTACTGAAAATCTTATTGATGATCCACTTTGGCTAATATTCAAAATATGTATTGGTAACGGTAAAGGCAATACTATTTCAAAAAAGAGCTGCCACGTGGCGCTGGAGTGATTTCGAATAATCGCCAAGTTAGAAAAGGTGCCGTGAATGTCAGAATAAATGAACCTGTTGCACCATTGAGTATATCGAATTTTTATATGTTACGATTGGCCCAATGTGTGTGATTTTAGGTAGTATTGTTATGCCTTAAAGCTTCATTCGGAGACACCAGGGTTGAGTTGTGCAGGGGTAAAACTCAAATCACCACCGATAAATCAACCGCCAAAACCATCGCACGCCTTTTACTGTAATAAATTCAATTTAAAAAAATTTATTTTCACTTAAATTGCTTTCGTGAAACTTACCTTTGAGGTATTTCGTCTGAAATAAGTCCATGTATATTGGATTTCTGTAGAACAATTATACGCATCCATTTTGAAATTGCCACCAACTATACGATAAAGTTACTTGGACAGATTTACTATAGAACCGGAGCATTGTTGCCGCCAGGGAGTGAAAAGGAAATGTTCTTCAAATTTATTTCGTTGTGAGATTAACCGTTCTATGAAATGTTACACAATCATCACGGACATAAAGCTTTCGTTCGCTTTTGGGCAGGACGAATTTCGCCGGGTCTGCTAGTATTATAATATTTCATTTAAACTAATTAAGTTGAATTTTTAAAATGTGGCAACCCTTGTGAAAGACTTCAATATTATTGAAAACTTTAAAACTAAAGGTTACTTAACAATATTTTGTTTGACAACCATATTTTAATTCTTCAGATGGCTCGCGTATAATTAATTTTAATTTTACTTTTCAAACAGGTGGCAAGCCTTTTCAAAATATATTAAACTACAGCTTGTTTAAGCCTCTTGACATCCATTTTTTTAATATAATTTTCAAATAAATAAATCCCTTAATTGAAGTTCAATTAGGTTTTTTTTTAAAAGGTGGCAGCCATCATCCATGTGAGTAGAGAATAATTTTATATATCTCCATACCAAGTTCCAGTAATCTACCAAAAATATTTCCTGAGAAATGCAGTATGAAAAATTCCGTTTGTATGGGAGGGGCCACGCCCTCTTGCCTAATCGAGATTAAATGTATCCTATATTTTAAGTTGGGCTAAATAACAGCAGTGTACAAAATTTCATGATGATCGGTTAAATAGTTAAAGCGTGAAAGCGTAGCAAACAAACGAACTCACTTTCGGATTTAAAATATTAGTAAGGATTGAAAACTTTTGCAGTGTTTTGGAAATTTTTATTTTTCTTTGAAAGTAAGTGTCCGAATGAAGAAATTTTTTTGGGTGCAGATTTAAAAAACATTAAACTATACAATGAAATTATTTGCGTTACAAAATTTTGTTTTGCTTTTCTTGGTAATAATAGTATAATATTGGTAAATTCGGGGCCCACTTGAGGAAGCCTTACCCATACCAAGATATTATTAAAAAAAAGTACTCTGGCGTTTCAAAGTATTATCTGCTACTTACATTCATAATTCTTCTTGGAATAAAAGTGTACTGAAAAGTACTGATTTTTATAGCATGAAAAAGTCTAATGTACTGATTTCGCGCCAAAAAAAACTGGCAACCCCAATTTCAAAGCTTACATTTATATACTTGTATTATATTTCTTTCCCAATTATTCTTTATTATATTATTATATCAGTATAATTTCCTAAGTTTTATAAAAGAGTATTACAAAAAAATGCAATTTCCTAAATATATATATATATATATAGTTTCACTTCGTTTTTTTTCGATAATTTCATGGTATGCACAATCAGCAAAATAGCGAAGGTAATGGATACCAAGAACGAGGATAACCTACCATTTATTATTGATATGGAGCATGAGCTGGCCGTATACATTTATAACAATATAAAAACTGATGATGCAGTGAATAAATTTAGCTACAAAGGGGTGGAAGATGGCAGGGCACGGAACACCGTACGAAAAGTGCTAATGCGAAAAGCTGATTACATATGTCCGCGATCGAGTCTAGAAACTCAAGGAGCTCTAGACAAGAAGTGTGTAATGTACGCAAAACCAATGGACAAGAGCAGATGTGTGAGTACATTTATGTTATCCGACAAAGAACTTGGCTATAATAAATAACACTATAGCAGAGCTGTATAATGATGGAATCAATTGAGTGTGCATTTACATTTTATTCGTTTCAAAAATTTCGTTTTAAAAATTTAACAAGCACTCTTGAGATTGGTTACAAATTGCAAACACAAAATATGTAGTGTGTTATTCACATAGACAATGTGAATGGAAAAAAACTCAAGCATGTATGATTGTACATTTATGTGAGTGCAATATATCCCCAACAAGCAAAAAAACTTAAATAAAGTTTTTTTTTAAGTTTACAATTATAAACATTAAGCTTACAAAACGTTGATTTTTGAAGTGAAACTTCTTTAGCGGCGGTTGGTTGGTAGGGAGTAAATTGGCAAATTCAAAGGAAATTGCGCACGGAAATGGTGCAACGCAAATGATGCAACGGAAATGGTTGGGGCTGAAACAAGTGGTATTAATTTAACAAAAATTTGCTAATAAAAGGTTAAAGAATAACACTTAGAAATACCAATACAATAATGAAAGTAAAGGTGAGTACGTACATAGATAAAGGAAAGGATAAAGGCAAAGGTAGAAATAAAAACAAAAACAAAGATGCGTAAAGATAAAGGCAAAAATGAAGACCAAGGTTAATTTAAACACTTTACTTATATATGTATATTAGGGCAAAGGTGAAGGGGAATATGTAGATGAAGAAAATTATAAAACATAAAAGTAAAGACAAAGGAGGAGAATGAGGATACCGATGAAAGTAAAGATGAAGATAGGGGAAGAAAGATTAAAATTAAGGTAATCAAAGAGGAAAGGATATAGAGAGAGACACAGAGACACAATCTGGAAACTATTTTGGGATTTTAGAGAATTTCGGGATTTTCGGGACTTATCGATAAAATAATCGATATTTTTATCGGTTTCGTTATCGATTATTTTATCGATTTTTTAATCACTTAATTATTTTGTTAGCGATACTTTTTAACGATTTTGTTATCGATACTTTTATCGATTTTGGTATCGATATTTATCGATTTTTATCGATATTTATCGATTTTGTTATCGATTTTGTTATCAATATTTATCGATGTTGTTATCGATATTTATCGATTTTGTTATCGAACTTTATCGATTTAATTATCGATAATTATCGATTTTATTATCGATATTTATCGATTTTGTTATGGATATTTTTATCGATTTTGTTATGGATATTTTTATCGATTTTGTTATCTATATTTTTATAGATTTTTTATCGATATTTATCGATCTTGTTATCGATATTTATTGATTTTATTATTCGATATTTATCGATTTTGTTATCGATATTTATCGATTTCGTAATCGGTTTTGTTATAGATTTTGACATCGATATTTATCGATTTAGTTATGGATATTTTTATCGATTTTGTTACCGATTTTGTTATGGATAATTTTATCGATGTTTTCATCGGGTTTCTAATAAATTTTGCTACCAATATTATTATCGATTTTGCTATCGAAATTTTCATCGGTTTTGTTATAGACATTTTTATCGGTTTTGTTATCGATATTTTTTTGGATGTTACTATCGATTTTGTTATCGATAGAGTATAAAGATAAAAACGAAGATAAAGCAAAACAGAATAATATAAATGTAATTAGAACGAACAGGGGTAGGGTAGGGACAAAAAATATAACCTCTCTATAAACATTTTGGCGAACGTTCGAAAATTACCTTCGATATCCAATATGAATATCGAACTGAGAACGAACTCTTAACCAACCTTAGTTTTCCAACGTTCATAGTGTATTGGAAATACATTCGAGATGGGTTCGAAAAAAATGAAAACCATAGTAACAAGAGAGGAAGTGAAATCCAGCTCATTTTCGAATGGGAATATAATAAGGTAACTCTCTCTCATTAAAATTTCAATTCGACAATGGGCTGGATTTCGAATTCATAACGAAGGAAAAGTTCATTGGATAACGAAGGTTCCGTTTTGCTGGAGAATGGCCTAGTTCTCGAATCGAATACTAACCACATTCGTTATCGATGGTGAGACTTGAAAAAATTTTAGTTTTCCAATAATTTTCTAATTGTTAACCAAGCTCAATGTTTATTGGGTTTAAGCAAAAGCAGATGTATGTATGTATGTATATTGGTTATGAGACAAATAGATATGTACATATGTAACGTAAGTTTCACTTCTCCAGTGTGGCCCAGGCGCACTTACTTTTTTTGTCTATAAAACGCTTGAAAGTAAGTTATATAGTCGAAATGGAACGTTGGTTATAAGCGTATAAATATTAAGGTGACCAGAATTTTTTAGCATTCCAGGAGGACAAATTCTCCATATTTATAACACAAAAAAATGCGTGTGTAACACCGTACACATGATAGAAGTGAAACTTCTTAAAAATGGTGTGAGTACCAGGTACCTACTCACGAAATTGGATGTGTAAACATATGTTTACGGTTCGGCAAAGCATTAGGCGATTGAGTTACATACATAGGTTTGGTTAAAAATCAAACAATAATTACATTTCATCTTAATAATTTTCTGATATACATATAATTTATTTATTCATTTTCCGGTAACACCACCTTATATGAATTCGCCCTTCTAGCATCCATAGGACCGGGTTGTAATGGAAGTAATTGTATGTTTAACAAATAAATGAAAATGTTTATAATGCAATCAATAGATCCTTACTAACTCGCCATTACCAAGGCACTAAGGAACGTACGCATTTTGTTTGCAAAATGCATTTATTTAAGTTGAAAGAAGACAAATTCCTTTGTTCGGCATTTATTCTTACTCGCTTTCTATCTTTTAAGGCGAATTCATATATTCTTATCACGAATTCATATATTCATGTGGTAGCAAGAGTATAAAAACATAAAATTACCTTATAAATTAAAAGCATAAGTATCACATGTATGCGTAGTCCAATTCCCGAAATCGTTTCATCGATCTGAGTAAAAACTAATGGCATACACTCTATTTCGCATTAATTGTAATCATGAAATGGTGTTCATTCATTCAGTTTCTACTCAAACGCATGAAATGATTTCATGAATTGGCCCAAGGCGTATTCAATAAGGTGGTATCGGTACGCCAATAACAAAATGTACATGTATTTTGTTTTTGCTTTTGCGGCGAGGACCGTCAAAAATTGCCTACGAAGGATGTGAAAGGGAACAGAAAACAATAAACAATCAACTGCTCCAACCAATCAACAGCAGCCATTTGACATATGAAGCCGTGAGGCGAAGAAAAATAAAAGGGTGCTGCTATCACCTGTTAAATACGCCTTGAATTGGCCTACGCATAATGGTAGTAAATGACAGAATGAATTACAACAAACACATCCTTTTGACATAATCCAAGCCGAAAACGTTGGTTTAAATCAATCCGCAATCAAGTTGGACGTTTTGCCCACAAACATTGGAATTTTGCGAGCAGTCTCATTGTAAAATCTCATTTTTACAATTTCATAGTTTCGGCTTACATTTATAAAATTCAACGAAAGCACTTACCTATGTATTTCGGCTGAGTTATCCATTTTCGGCTATTTAGTGTACAAAATAAACGCAAATTAAATGAGTTTGTACAACATGGCCAATAATGTAGTGATAAGTTGTACAACTTGCCAGAAAATCCAAATTTTTTGATCTTTCATACAACCAAGACCTAAATTCATTCAACAGGCCCACAAACGGTGCAATCTAGAGCAAAACAACACCAAGTTGAACCAACGGTCGTTACATTTATGGCTTTCTTTAAGAAACATCGGGCGAAAATTTCAACTGCTCCTGTAACACTACCTTATATAAGTTGGCCTTGCTATCATCCTCACATACATATGTTCATCAAAGTATACCAACGAAGGACGCGTTAATACAAGGAGATAGCGAGAGCACAAAACTACTCTAGAAAATTACACGCACAATGACAAACATGAACAAATGTACATACAACAAACACATAATTTTTGACAATCAGTACAGTTCGCATTTACATATATCAACGAGCAGCTTATTAGATCTTTTTTCCTTTATACTACATATGTGCATACTAGCGTCCAGCGCAAGTGTATTTGCCGCATTTCGTTCAGTAAGTACTCCTTGCATTGTACCCTACTCCCAACACATTGTTACTCTTTTTCCGCATAGAATACAAGATTGCGCCGATTGCAGCAGAATTCGTGAGAGTAATTTTAGCGTGACGTCATCGTAGAGTTGACAACTGAGAGCGGCGAGAATGAGGGCGACTAGTGATGTGCTGAATTGTCCCCAATTCTCGGTACCCAATACTTGAAAAAGATTTCGGTACAATATACTTCCTTTTCGGTATCCG